TTAATCTTTGTTATTTCTGTTCCTAGTTATATTAGAAGAACTTGTTGAATCCTGGGTGATGCGCCCAATAATATTTATCTTAGTGTATGCGAAATATCCTTAAAGACAGTATCTTTGACACGCCTCAAGCTAAACCTTTTATTCTCCATAATCATCCAAATTTTTTTCAACAGCTATTAACCTCTTGAGTACACAAAAGTATGATTTAAAACTTGCATAAATTCTTTTAAAATTACCTAGTATATTGAGGGGCAAGACTGCAAGAGCATACTGCATGCAACTGTTGAGTTTTAAAAAGCATGTTCAGTATCTATTACTCCCTATGTCCATATTTATGGGGTATGTTTAGCTTTCAAGAATTAAATTTCTTAATTTTTGATCGTCATTTCGGACGTAAATTTTTGAAATTATTTAAATAAAATTAATATATTTAAAAACTACATAAAAGGTACTCTAAGTCATAGTAATTAATAATTTAAACTATTAAGAAAGGCATATAAAAAATTACAACTAAAAAAAAACTCATTTGACTCTCTACATTTACACACTGGCACATAAATTGGACGGATAAAGTATGATAGACGTACATGCCATGATAGTATGCATTGATAGGAAGCATGTTGTGATATATGTCATTTACATAAGTGTCCGAGATTATATATATATATATATATATATATATATATATATATATATATATATGTTGTAGGATTTCATTGTACTCCTTTCGTCTCAATTTATGTGAACATGTTTAATTGGGCACGAAGTTCAAGAAAAAATAAATATTTTTAAAATTTGTGATCCTAAACAAGTCAAAAAGAGGTCTAGAGTATTTGTGTGGTTACAAAAGTTTCTCATTAAGAGTAGAATTGAAAGTTTAAACTAAATTATTTTCAAATTCAGAAAGTGATCATTCTTTTTAGAACAGACAAAAAAGAAAAAAGGTTCACGTCAGCCGGAACGGAGGAAATGTCTTATGTGCTTTAGATTGAAAAGATGAGATGGTGCTAGCATTATTATGAGGGCACAATTGGTCGAGTATATTATGAGGTAAGTGTTGGCTATGGATGGACGACGGAAACGCATAGTTCAACTCAGGTAACATTGTGCACTATGGACGCTCTAATGCAACGTAAGGTGGCACTATGTGATAGACTTACTGATATGGCGAAATGAATAGTTTACTACTGCCTCATTTATACACTTTAATTTTTTTGCGATATACGTACTATATACCTTGTTCATGATATGCATGATATTATGAAGACTAGCTCCACAGGATAGGGGCAAGTCAGTGATCTTACTAGGTGTTAGCTCACCCAAACATTTACTACTTCGTGCAGATTCATCTATTAGCAGTGCTACTAAACCCAATTGTGTCACGACCCGGATTCCAAACATTGGGATCATGATGACGCTTAATATTTATTTGCTAGGCAAGCCAGCATGAGATAACCAATTGACCATTTTAACAACTTAAAACAGAGTAATAACAATTATTAACGATTAATAAAGCAGTAATACATAAGATAAACCTATAATATAACACGGTCCAGTCTAATCCCAGAAATCTGGAGTCACATGTGCATGAGCAACTAGAATAATACAAATATGGTTTGAACGAAATACAATATTTGAAAAGAAATAAACAGTGAAGACAGAAATAGAATGGGACTTCAGGGATTGCAAACGCCAGCAGCTCTACCTCAAGTCTCCGCTGTAGATATGATCCGAGCGGAAGCACAACTAGACACCATTGGGACCAACGCCAGTATCTACACTAGAAGTACAGAAGTGTAGCATGAGTACAACCGACCCAATATACTCCGTAAGTGTCGAGCATAACCCCGACGAAGTAGTGACGAGGCTATCACAAGACACCTACTAAGATCCTGTGTAGATATATACATAAAGTAATTCAAATAACAAATAGGATATTTAACATAATAATGGGGAGGGAACGTGTAGAAAGAAAAGTACAATAAGAATGGCAAGTACAAAATTATCAAGTAGCCTTTTCACGAAATAAATAACAATACAACCGATTAAATCACCAATCCGGACATCAAATAAAGCGATGAAATCAACAATGACACAATATTACCGTCCCTGATTTTACTCTCATAATCACCATGTAATATCATAAATGCAATGGCACGACATCACCCTTCATCTTTTATTCTCATCCTCACCATATAATAATAATATCTTTTACTCTCATCCTCACTATATAATAATGATATGATAAATAAAATGACACAACATCACCCTCTGTGCTTTAATCCTCACAATCTCTCAAATAAATAATAGTATAAGTAAATAAGACACGACAACATCATTCGTGCTTTTCGCTCTTCCTTACCAAGAAACAACACTAATCCACAATAGCAATGCAAGTTGGGAAGCAAATTTCACTTCAATTATAGTTTCATGATAGACAAACTCAACCTTCAATATCTCAACAACTCCAAAATAAACAAACTAAGGCATTAACTCAATAATGGAAAACTAAGGCATGGAAAACATAGTCAATAGAATAACATAGTACAATAAAATATTTTTTACCCGCATGCATTAACCCATTTTGCAATTAAGTCAATGCTCAACCATGGCATTTTCTTTAGAGTTAGCCTCCAAACCAATTAAATCTAGTCCAATATAGTTCAAACAATTCAAAATAAGCTTTAGAAACTACCCACAAGTGAAAAAGATTTGATCTTTAAATAAATTGAAAAAAGTTAACTCCGGGCCCACTTGGTCAAAATTCGAGATTCGGACCAAGACCTGATTGTCCATTCACCCGAGTCAGCTTATGTGATTGGTTTCGAAATTCGATCTCAATTTGAGTTCTAAATCTCAATTTTATAAAATCCCTAATTTCTACCATGAAATTCATAGATTAAAAGTTAAAATCAATGGGTAATTATGAAAATACATCAAAAATAGTTTAAAATCACTAAGCAGTGAAGTTGAGATGAAAACCTCCTTAAAATCGCCTCTAGACCGAGCTCTAACTTTCAAAAATGGTATTTTGTGAAATAATACCGATTTTCAGCTTTTAAAATAGTTGGGCTAAGAACACTGGCCTTTTGGCCTTTGCGTTCGCGAATCCTTCATCGCATTCATAAAGGCTTATTCCCCATCTCGCCTTCGCATTCGCGTCCCATGGTATGCATACGCGATGAAGACAAACCCCTGCCTTCCCAAACCTCCCCAAAGCATCATGTACGCGAGAGGCACGGAGAGTAATCCCCCTAGTGCTTCACGTTAGCGTTTTTCCTCTCGTATTTGCGAAGAGTAACCAGCCCCCAGTCCAAATTTCCCCTAAGCAATTGCTAGAGAGCCTTCGCGATCGCGAAGCGCAGCGCACCAGAAGAAAAACTAGTAGTCTCCTAAGTCAAAAAATGGTCCTAAGCCTATCCGAAACTAACCCGAAACCCTCGTGCTCCAAACCGAACATGTACACAAGTCTAAAAATATCATAAGAACTCGCTCGCGCGATAAAATACCAAAATAACATCAGCAACCACGAATCGGACATCAAACCATATAAAATTTAAAAGGAAACTCAAGAGTAGCTAGAAACACAACCAAGCATCCGATTCCTATCAACAACTTAGAATTACACCAAATTTTGTAGACTAGTTTCAAATTACAAAACAGACATATTCCAAGTCCCAAAATCAAAATCTGAACTCAATAATAATAAAGTCAACCAACCTAAGAAATTTCTAAATATTTAAATTGCCAACTTTCGGCAAAACAAGTCAAATCAACCTAAGGACCTCTGAATTCAATTTCAGATATACGTCCAAGTCCAAAATCACAATACGAACCTACCAGAATTATTAAAACACCAATACGAGGTTGTTTACCCAAAATGTTGGATGTGGTCAACTCTAGCCTTATTCTTAGTCAGAATTTTTATTTCTTCAAAATTTTACTTAAAAGTTTTTCGATAAGCGACACAGACCATGCTCGCAAACAAAGAAATATCAAATGAAGCTATGAGAGGTCTCAAATCATGAAAATTAAGTCTAGTACTCAAAACGACCTATCGGGTCGTCATATTCTCCACCTCTAAAAGAAACATTCGTCGTTGAACGGACATAAAAAAATACCTGGACTGGTGAAAAAGTGGGGGTATCTACTCTGCATATCGGACTCCCATGTAGATGCTTCGATCGGCTGACCTCTCTATTGTACTTTCACAGAAGAAAAAATATTAGATATCAACTTTCGAACCTGTCGGGCTAGGATAGCCACTGACTCCTCCTCAAAGGCCAAATTCTCATCAAGCTGAACCTTGTTGAAGTCTAGAACATGCGAGATGTCCTCATGGTACTTCTGAAGCATGAAAATGTGAAATACTGGATGTACTACTGATAGGCTAGGAGGCAATGCAAGCCTGTAAGTAATATCCCAAACTCTCTCTAAGATATCAAATAGCCCAATAAACCTGGGGCACAAGTTTCCCTTCTTTGCGAATCACATCACGCCTTTCATAGGCGACACTTGGAGGAAAACCTTCTCACCCACCATATATGCCACATCTTAAACCTTCTGGTCTACATAACTCTTCCGTTTGGACTGGGTTATGCGAAATCACTCCTAAATTACCTTATACTACTCCATAGCATCACATACCAAATTAGTGCCCAACAACCTAGCCTCTCGGGGCAAACCATCCAATCAGTGAACGACGTTGCCTCACATATAAGGCCTCATATGATGCCATCTGAATACTCGACTGGCAATTGTTGTTGTAGGAAAACTCCGCTAGAGGTCAAAGCTTATCCCATGAACCTTCGAAATCCATAACACGTTGTGTGGACTGATAATCTCCTATATATAAACCGAGCTAACTGCTATGAAGAATATGAAGTCGCCACCAGAATAAAGTGTGCGAGCTTAGTTAAACAATCCATAAAAACCCAAACTATGTCATATTTCTTCAAGGTCTGTGGTAAGCCTACCACAAAATGGATAGTGATGCGCTCTCAATTCCACTCCGGTATCTCCATTCTCCGAATCAATCCACCCGGTTTCTGATGTTCATACTTTACCTGTTAACAATTGAAACACCGAGATACATAAGTAATGATGTCTTTCTTAATTCTTCGCCACCAATAGTGTTATTTGTAATCACAGTACATCTTCGTGACACCTGGGTGAATAACATGAACTGTGAGTCTCCTCAAGGATCAACTCTCTCAACCCATCAACATTTGGAACAAAAATTCGGCCCTAAAGCTGTATAACACCATCATCATCAATTACAACCTCCTTAGTACCATCCCGTCGCACTGTATCCTTTAACACCAACAAGTGAGAATTGTCAAATTGGTGAGCCTTGATACGCTCCACTAACGATGATTGTGCTATGACATAAGCAAAAACACGACTGGGCTCCGAAGCATCTAATCTCACAAACTGACTGACCAAAGCCTGAATATCCATAGCTAATGGCCTCTCAGCTACCGGTAATTATGCCAAACTACCCATGATCTCAGCCTTTCAACTCAATGCATCGGCTACTACGTTGGCCTTTCTCGGATGATATAATATGGTGATATCATAATCTTTTAGCAATGTTAACTATCTCCATTTATGCAAATTAAGGTCCTTCTACCTGAACAGGTGCAGGAGACTCTGATGGTTATTATGGACCTCACAATAAATGTCGTACATATAGTGCCTCCAAATCTTCATCGCGTAAACAATGGCTATCAACTCTAATTCATGAACAAGATAATTCTTCTCATGAACCTTCAACTCCCGAGACGCGTAGCCAATCACACTACCATCCTGTATCAATATCGCACCAAGCCCAATACGGGATGCATCACAATACATAATATAAGATCCCAAACCTATAGGCACTACCAATATGGAGCGGTAGTCAATACACTTTTGAGATTCTGAAAGATAAACTCACCCCTTATCGAGCCATTTGAAAAGAGCACCATTTTGCGTCAATTTGGTCAATGGGGCTGAGACATATGAAAACCCTCCACGAATCGGCGATAATAATTCGTCAAACCCAAGAAGCTCCAATCTTCGTAATTGAAGTAGGTCTAGGACATTTTTGAACTATCACAATCATCATAGGATCCACTTTAATGCCCTCAGAAGATACAACATGGCCCAAAAAGGCAACCGAGTCCAACCATAACTCACACTTTGAAAACTTGGCAAATAATTGCCGATCCCTCAAAATCTGAAGTACGATCCTAAGATGCTGCTTATTCTCCTCTCGACTGTGGGAGTAGACCAAAATATCATTAATGAAGACGATCACAAAGAATCCAGATAGGACTTGAACAATTGGTTTTATCAAATCCATAATGGTTGTTGGAGCATTAGTCAAACCAAATGACATCACTAAGAGCTCATAGTGACTATACCAAGTCTGAAAAGTTGTCGTAGGGACATCCGATGCCCTAATCTTCAACTGATGGTAGAAAGATCTCAAGTCAATCTTAGAGAACACCTTGCACTCTGAAGATGATCAAATAAGTCATCAATCCTTGGCAACAGATACTTGTTCTTGATAGTGACTTTGTTCAACTGCCGATAAACAATACACATCATCATAGTTCCATCCTTCTTATTCACAAACAATACTGGTGCACCCCAAGGCGAAACACTAGATCTAATAAATCCCTTATCAAGAAAATTCTGCAACCGGTCCTTCAATTCTTTGAAACTCAACTTGGTCCATATGGTATGGTGCGGTAGAAATGGGATAAGTGCCCGGAACCAGATAAATGTAGAAGTCAATATCTCTATCGGGTGGCATCCCTGAAAAATATGTAGGAAATAGCTCTAGAAACTCACACACAATTGGTACTGAATCCATAGAAAGAACGTCCCGCACTAGGATCACGAATATAGGCCAAATATGCCAGAAACTCCTTCTCAATCATACGTCAAGCCTTCACATATGAAATGACCCTGCTAGTGGAATAGCAAGGAGTCTCTCTCCACCCCAATCGAGGCAACTCCAGTATGGCTAATGCCACAGTCTTAAAATGAAAGCCAAAATAGCATGATCAGGTGGCAACCAATACATGCCTAAGATCACGTCAAAATCCACTCTATCAAGAAGTATAAAGTCTACTCTAGTCTCATAGCACGATCTACCATAATAGAATCTTCCATAGGCGTAGACCCATAAATAGGAGCACTCAAAAAATCATGAGGCATAACGAAATATGAAGCAAAATAGGATGACATATATGAATATGTGGAGCCTGAATCAAATAAAACTGAGGCATCACTATGAAAAACTAGAACATTACCTATGATGACCGCATCAGATGACTCTGCATCAAGTCTGGCTGGAAATGCATAGAAACGGAGTTACCACTCTAACCTTCGCCTCTCGGATAGCCCCTCCCTGGCTGACCTCCACCTCTAATGGCATGACCACCATAATAATAACAAGTAAATAAGGCTTAATACTATGAAAAATAGAAGAATAGTGTGAACACAACATTAACCAAGCAGTCTAAAACAAAACCCTATCAGACTAGTCTCCCACCCAGAACGATGTAGAAATATTCTCAACTACCTCCTAACGTACAACCCTAATGATCGACACCCACACCTTCCTTAAGGGTTATGTCCTCGGAAATCTGAAGTTATGGCATGCCATGTCTGATAACCTCTCTCCAATACTTCTTAGTCCGCCCTCTACCTCTTCTCGTACCAGCCAAATCCAACTGCTCACACCTCCTTACCGGGGCTTCTAGGCTTATCCTTCATATATGCCCCAACCATCTGAGTCTCTCTTCCCGCATCTTGTCACCCATAGGAGGCACATCCACCTTCTCTCGAATATCTTCATTCCTAATCTTATCCATCCTAGTGTGCACGTACATCCACCTCAACATCTTCATTTATGCTACTTTCACCTTCTGGATATGTGAGTTCTTAACTGGCTAATACTCTGCCTCATACAACATGGTTGGTCTAACCACCGCTTTATAAAACTTACCTTTGAGCATCAGTGACACTTTCTTGTCACATAGGACTCTACATGCTAACCTCCATTTCATCTAGCCCACCTCTATGTTGTGTGCGATATCCTCGTCGATCTCCCTATCCCCCTGGATAACCGACCCAAGGTACTTGAAACTGCCTATCTTGCGGATGACCTGTGATCCAAGCCTCACGTCCATGCCCACTTCCCTCAACTCGGCGTTGAACTTGTACTCCGGGTATTCTATCTTCGTCGTGCTCAACTTGAAACCCTTAAACTCAAGGGTTTGTCTGCAAATCCCCAGCCTCTCGTTAACACCGCCTCGCGTCTCATCAATTTGAACTATCTCATCAGCGAATAACATGTACCATGACACCTTCCCTTGAATATGGTGTGTCGGTGCATCCATCAACAGGGAAAATAAGAACGGATTGAACGCAGATCCTTGATGCAACCCCATAACAATCGAAAAATGCTCAGTAAGGTCTTGTCTCAGTATTCTTTTATTCATCATGTTATAGAAGCTTCTAGACGTTGTGAATTTAGTTTTGTCACTTTGTTGAAGTGTTACATGACATGTATGAATAACTATTTTTGAATATATGATGTTGTATGATATTCAAGAGTTCATGGAAATGTTTATGAAATGTTTCATGTTTTCTTCTCATGCATGGGTTATGCATGTTGGTTTGTTTGATGGTAAGTTCAAGAAATCGCATGCCCATCCCATTACTCCAGATTAAAACTATACTAAATCAAACCTCGCTTATCCATTCATCGATAACCACATGGTATTTCTCCGTGCATAGGAATATAGTCAACAATGAAAATTAAATGTGATATCAACAAAGTAATAGTCTTTCCTATGTGTACCATTCCTTGCCACTTAGCTTTATCGGTGAAGTTAAATCTACAATTTATTTTGCACTATATATCTACAGAGTTTAATATCTTATCACATCAACAGGATATATCTACTTCCTTCTCCAACACCCCCACCTTACTAATTTCTTTTGCAAGTCTGAAAGAATTTGCTGAGTTTATTAGTGTCGTTTCGGACATTCATCCTTAATTATGTGCCATGTGGAATGGCATAGGCTTCTTAATTAGAATTGTTGCCTAACAATTCTTAGTACGAGGTCTCAAACATGCCAGCAGGTAATATTAGCATATGGCCACCCAACTTATCCAGATAAGATGATTCAGAAAATCATATCTTGTGGTTACAATCTATATAAAGAGCATATACTTTCTTTCCAAAGTATGTGTAATATTTTTCTTTTATTATGTGCAAAAGAATATTAAATTTTCTTATCTAAAAATAATTTAACTTAAAATTATTATTTTACTCTTGATGAGATGATTTACAATCACACAAATATTTGTGAATTATTTTAGATTATAAGTTTCACAAATCTTCTTTTTTTTTTCTTCCTATATTTCATGCTTAGTCTAATACAGCCATATAAATTTGGATGGAAGAAGTATTACTTGGAAAAAGGTGCTTTGAAATTTTCTTATTAAATAAAAAATTAAAAAGACAGCATGATGCACAAAGTATCTCGCATCCATGCAAGGTACGAAAAAGAGCCGCACCTCGAAAGTTGTTATATAGACAGTCTACACACAATACAAGCGTTAATGGCTACTTTCATAGCTCGAACTCGTGAACTATAGATTATACAAACCATTCCTCTTCGAATAAAAAATTTGAAAATTTCAAAAGAAATCCTACTTACAAGGGATTGGTCAAAATACATTGAGTAGATAATGATTAGTATAGTAAAATGCTTTGTCCTATCTGAAATTCAGGAAGAGGTGACTATTCATGAAAAATGTTTGCCCCATAATATATAAGTCTATTAAAAGTTAAAAGCGATTAATATTTTAAGTGGAGTAACATAAAAGTGGTGACATCCACGTCAATACGTGGTTCATCTTTTCTTGGGCCAAGTCTTTGAAAGAAACCCCCAGCAGCCACCACTAATTTACCACTTAAAGAAGTCACCATTTATTTCAATTTTCACTATTATTTATGCTGCACTATTTGGACCCGTTCAATTCAATATTAAATTCTTTAATAAGTTTTCTTTACACTTTTTTCTTGAGCTTTAAATCTTTAGCAAGAAAAAAAGATTTTCATTGCGCAATAGTTAAACCTTACGTAATTATATTAACACCTGTATATAGAATAATAAACTTTAATTCCAACAAGTTAGTATCATCGGCCTGTATATGTCTTTCTGTTTTATTTTATGTTTGCTCTAAATTATAACTTTTTCGAAACAATCTTTTTTCAACGTGATTTTAACAAAATGGATCAAGTGATGTCATATTCCACTTTCAGATATATTTTATATATCATTCTGTTTCTTAGTGGATTTTTAATATATGTCTAACGTAATCATGTTTGGTGTCTAACAAGTATATAATATATTAATATGTTGAGGCTGATAAATCACTTCCTCAAAGCTCAAATTTTTTTCTCAGTTAAAGAAATCTTGGGACGTAAAAATGAAAAATAAAATAAAAAATACAACCTAGTAGAAAATGACGCACGCAATGAAGTATTTTGCCGAAAATTTATGTTCCGACTTCTGAGAACAAATTAGACTCAAGAAAGAAAACCGAAGGAAAGAGATTTTTCATTTCCAAAAATACATGAGGTTAATATCAGCAAGAAATGATGTGAAACTAGAATTTACTTACATGACGACAATGTACGTTCAAAAGTGGGGGAAGAATGGCAAAGGAAAAAGACTGAGGAAATAAAAAGGAATAAAACAATGATCAATTGAATATTGTTTTTCTTTATTAAAATTAGTGCAAGTAGTATATATATATAAGTTAATTTCTCTTAAACAAAGAAAAAATGGAATTCTCTTGCATCTCTTGCAAAAATGAATAAAACTTCGATGTATGAACAATGTTTGAAGACATAAAACAATTCTTTTTCCTCGAAATTTTCTTCAATCAAGTTATATTTATGTAACGACCCGGCCAGTCGTTTTGAGAAACTGCATTTAGATCGGTAGCTTAAGGTCACGAGTAACTTCATATGGTGTATTATGACTCGTGTGTATCGTTGTTTGTAGTTTTTAGATGCCTCAGAATTGATTTAAAAGATGATTCTCAACTAGAAAGGTTTAAGTTGGAACAGTTGACCAAGTTTGACTGTTGTATATTAGACATTAAATCAAAATTTGGATGATTTCGTTAGGCCCGGATAGCGATTCTAGACTTGAGCGTATGCCAGGATTTATGTTTGGATATTTCTAGAAGGTTATAGCGCTATTTTGACGAAAGTTGGCAATTTAAAGGTTTGGAAAGTTCATAGGTATTACCGAGAGTTGGCTTCGATATTGTCGGGTTTGAATTGTTGTTCCGAGAATTGGAGTATATTCATTATGTCATTGGGAGCTTGTGTGCAAACTTTGAGGTGATTCCGAGTTGTTTAGACGTGTTCGATGTAAGTTTGATATTTGGAAGTTTGAAATAGTTCATTAAGCTTGATTTGAAATGCGATTCGTGATTTTGATATTGTTATGGGTGATTTGAGGCTTTTACTAGGTTTGTATTGTATTTTGGGACTTGTTGGTATGTTCAGACGGTGTCCCGAGGGGCTCGGGTAAGTTTCGGGGTGGTTTCAGATCATTTCAAATGGGTTTTGTGTCGCTAATTTGCTGGTGTCAAGTAATGCATCGCGATCGCGAGCATGAGAACGCGTTCGTGAAAAGTCAGGTGAGCTAGAGGAGATTTGTTCTACACGTTCACGGTTAGGGGGACGTGATCTCGAAAGGTCTGTGCATGAAGGTTTAGGTGTTTGCGAAGGTTCAGTCGTGGACGCGAAGGGTGATTGGCAGTTGGGACCCTTATGCTTCACGTTCGCAGGGTACGTTCGCGTTCGCGATGGTTGGGAGTGCTGGTCAACGAGTTCGCGAGCAGTGTATCGCGATCGCTGAGAAGGTTTCTGGTTGGAGGCGTTTTTGTGCTTTACGAACGCGAGGCTTCTTCCGCATTCGTGAATGGTTCACCTGGGTAGTATTATAAAGTACTCTATTTTCGGACTTTGAGACATTTTTTCACATTTTGAGTAGGGAATCTCGGTTTTGGGCGATTTTAGAAGGGATTTTCACCATTTGGATTAGGATAAGTTTAACTCGATTTTGATTATGTTCCATGATTCTATCTTCGATTTTGGCATTTGATTGATAATTCTAAAATAGAAACTGAGGGTTTTTGTCAAAACCTTTCTACATTGAATATTTGAGATTTGAACATTGATTTGGAGTCAGATTTGAGTGAAATGAGTATCGTTGGACTCGTATTCTAATGGGTTGTCGAAACTTTTGAGTTTTGTTGGGTTCTAGGTTGCGAGCCCGGGGTTAATTTTTGGATTGACTTTGAGTATTTGATTAAAAACTCGACCTTTATCGTTTGGGTTTGCTTCCTATGATATTATTTGATGATTTTGAGCTGCTTTTGGCTAGTTTCGAGCCGTTCAGAGGTCGATTTGTATGGAAAGACGCTTCTTGTCTATCGATTTGGCTTGTTTGAAGTAAATATCTTGTCTAGCATTGTAGAAAGAATTTTTTTCTACTATTTTCTACATGCGGGAGTGATACATATACGGGGTGACGAGCTTATATGCATGTGCTAGAATTTTTATTCTCGAGAGGGGAAAATTATATGCTTTCTTTGTGGCTCGATGAACTTGGTGATTCTTTGACTTATGCGTTATTTAGTTCTATGACTAATAAACTCAATTAACTGTGTTAGAGATCATGTTAGAACATATGATATCTTAAAAAGGATTTAATATGTTATTTTCGGACTGTTTACATACTTATTTGATTGTAACATTATGAACACCCATTATACATGTTATTATCTTGCTACTTGAGTTTCTTTATCCGTAATATGTGCGAGGATTGCAGCATTGGGGCTATATTGGGCACGAGGGTTATTTTTATGCGGTTGATATGTTGTTGGCACAATGAATATTTTCGAGCGGTATGAAAAGAAATTAGTTTTTTGGTTATTACCGTACAAAAGGAAATAAAGTTAGATATCTGTTATAATTACTCATTTGTTAAGTACTTACACGCCCTTTACTTTGGTTTCTATTAATGTTGGTTGTTTTTGTATGATACCTTCCATTTGAGTTCCTTATGTAGTTACCTCTTGTGATTTTCCTTTGTCCTGTTACAGTTATAGCTATGTCTTTACCTTCTATATTGCTGTTATACCTACGTTTTTACTTGATTTACTTCTGTTACATGCCCTCTTTGAATTCATGTCTTGGCTTGTTATTAGCCCATACACGTTACATGCCCTCAATTACTAATTGTCTTCACTTACCATATATTTTTTACTTACCATATACTTTTACTTGTTGAATGCCTTCACTTGTTATATGCTTCTATTTGCTACATAATTTCATATATACTGAATGTCCTC